TCTTTCCCCCAGGTGCTACACTTAAAATCTTAAAACCTTTTGCATTTTGTTGGCAAATATCTTTGTAAACCCCTGAACTGTCAAAAAAACAGCGTGTGAAAGTGCAGGGAGAGGTTGTATCATCTGGTGGTTTCAGAGCTGGAGGGAAGGGGAGAGCCTGCCAAGTTCGGCTGTCCCGGCTTAGCCACAGGAGCCCGTCATAAATATTTTAGTAACAGAATTATTTTAACTTTATTTTAATGAAGGGATTTAAGCTGTTCATTCGACTTAAAATGGTTTTAAAGCAGTGTGCTTCCGTGCGCTGCTTCCCGTTCGGGGAAGACAGCATGAAATGTTAATTGGCTTCATCCAGGGAGGGAACAAGGATTTGACTTGATGGGCTTCGTGCTAACTGTCCGCCCCAGGACAGTAACGGCGCCCAGCTGATGCCGCAGCACAGTGTGGGGCTGGGTGAGGTCCACCAGTGTCCCCCGCCTCCCCCGTGCCACCGTCAGACCTGCACCTCCGCCGGCTGCGGTCCCCAGCCCGGGGGTGACAGCGGGGTGGTGGCCTGGCCCAGCGGCAGAGGGCAAATGGGGACAAGGCGCATCAAGTGGTTCTCAGTCTGGGCATGGATGCGAGCTGGGGTTTTCTTGTTTGTTTTGGTTTGTGATTGCGTTGTGTGGGGTTTTTTCTCAAATGCGGGAACTGTTTTGAAAATGCTGAGAACTTGGCGAGGGTCAGCAGCAGAGGTATTTGAGGCATCCCAGCTGGTATTCCCTTCCGCTCCGTCTCGGCCAGGACGGCACGGGCGTGCCGAAGCCGCCCCACGGACGGGACACCAGCGGAGCCGTGGTCTGGGTTTGCTGCTGCGCTGGTCCCTGCAGGTCTCTCGGCAGCGCTGCGGTCGCAAAGCGGAGCTCAACCTTCTCCAACCGTCCCCAGAGCTGGTGTTGAGGGCTAGCAACCTCCAACGCCGGGCGGTGGCATTTCGTGAGAACAGCTCATCTGGTCATGGAGCTCTGCTAGCAGAGAAGACCTCTGCAAGCCTGGCATCGCCATGCAACGGTGCTGCTCTCTCCCTTCCTTCCCTTTTTGCACCCTCTGTATTTCCAGGGTTGGCCATGTCCTCAGAAGACCCTGTCTTGGCTCAAATGAGTCTCTGATGAGCACCAGCACTTGCCACTCCGTTGGGTCTGTGCTGGGGCTTGGCAGACGAGCCTGCTAACGCATGCGGGGGGGTGACGGGTGGTTCCCAGGTCCCAGGAGCCCCTCAGTGCATGAAGCACCTGATGCCCAGGAGATGCTTTCCTTCACCCCCCCACCTCCCCTCTCCCCTCCTCCTCCCAGGACCCCGCTAAGCAGCCGTGGAGATCTCCCCGGGGAGCGCAGGGCTGCCTGGGAACCGCACTCCCACGGACGGCTCTGACACGGAGCCGCAGCTGAAAAAGCATTTAGGGGGCAGGAGTGAGCCTTGACGTGGATCCCTGTTACGAGGTATTTTCCTTCAGAAGGGGGGAAAAGAAACCCCCAAAACCCAAGAGTAATGAGAAACACAGGGGGGTTTATAGCTTTCCTTTTAATCCCAGGATATAATGAATGATTTCCCGTTGGAGCAGAGAGGAGGTGGGATGCTGCACACCTTCAGAGTGCGGTCAGAATAAATATAACCTGTGTTTGCATCTCTTTGGTACCTCTCCTCTGCAGAAGCCATGAAGCCCTGCACGCGTTGACTCGCGAGTCCACGTCTGGTAGGACCTTGCACACAGCCCATGCAGTGCAGGCAGAGGCAGGCAGCAGCTGCCTGCAGCCCCTTTCCCTCTTGGTAGGGTCTAGTGTCACCTCCAAGGTCCAATGTGACACATCCCTGGACCTGGGCATGGCTCCGCGGGTGCAGAGCCGAGGCCACGTGCAAGGAGAGCATCCTGACGTGGGACGGGGGGCCACCTACATTGCGACGTTGTGGTCGCGCCTCGGCAGCCGCAGGAGGAAGGTCTGCAGGGAGCCGCTGCGTGGGAAACCTGCCCGCTCCTTCTTAAACCTCCAGGTCTCCTCCTCCACGGAGTAGAGGAGCGTCAGCATCTTGTTGACAGTGTAGACGGTGTCGCCCCTGATGACGGCAGTGAAGAGGGCTCCTTTGCTGTTCAGGAACTGCCCGGGCAGGGCGGTCCATTGCCGCGACGTCAGGTTGAAGCAGTCAATGACGCAACGCAAGAAGTCATCCGAGGGGCCATTGCGCATGACGTAGAGGTTGTCACGGTGGGCCACCATGCAGTGCCCGTAACTCTGGTGCCGCTTGAGCTCAGTGACAGGAAGCCACGCATCTCGCCGGGGCTCGTACTCATAGATGACAGTGGTGTCCAGTGGCTTCCACAAGCAAACGAAGATCTGCCCCATAGCTTGGGCACAGGGTGCCGCCGCACTCGGCTGCGGCAGGTCAGAGACGAACGTCCAGGTGCTGGAGGCCACGTCATACCTCTCCACGGACTTCAGCGAGATCTTCTCGTACTCCCCGCCAATGGCATAGAGGTAGCCCTCATGGCCCACCAGCCTGACGTCGTAGCGCAGCTGATGAGGGCTGGGGAACTCACTCCAGGTGTTGGTGTCAGCGTCGTAGCAGAAGCTGCTCTCCACCACCTGCTTGCTGGCCCCGTAGACACCGCCCACGATGTAGATCTTATTATCCATGGTCGCCATGCCGGCTAGGAATGTGCTGGCGCTCAGTGGCAGGCAGGAGAGGGTCCTCCATGTGTTGGTTTCCTCATCCAGGTAGCAGATGGTCCTGGAGAGGTCCTCCAGGAACTCGAAGGTGGGCGTGTGGGCTCCTACAGCCACGAAGGTGCTCGGCAGGAGGGCTTCCACGTAGGCCCGCAAGTCAGTGGAGAGGCAGTCCAGGTACTCCTCCAGCTCAGCGTAGCTGTCCCTGATGTAGAGCGCGGCGCAGTGGAAGAGGTCCAGGAGACCGAATATGGCGGCAGCTTGGTACAGCAGGATGCAGTTGTCGGAGTTGATGGAGTGGATCAAGTACTTGGCCAAG